GTTTGATAATGACATTTTTAATATTCTGTTACAGCAATATATCTTCTATTAACCCAAATAGGATACATTTTAGCAAAATCAGTATACGTCCCACCATGTAAAAACCATTCCGAAAGCCTTCGAATAGCAAGAAGCGACGAAAAAACCTCCATAACTCCTTTAAATTTTGATAGAAATTCAGAGGACGTGTTTGAAAAAAACTCCATGTTGAAATCAAACGATAATAACCCAGAAAAATTGCCAAATTTCAATGCAAACTATAATCAAATGCAAACAAGACGATACCTATTTAATAATCAACCAGAACACTTAGCTAAATGGCCTACAAATTTAAATAAAATGGAAAATAAGAATAAAGCCAATGCCGTGCCAGTTAGTTATCAAGCGATTGATCCGAAAAACATATTTGTATATGGATTATACCCAACGAAAGTTACTAAAAATAGACTAACGAATAATGATACAAAACCTACCAATAATACAAAATATAATAAAACTATTACAGATTACAATGAGTTAGATAAAAATGAAGACAAAGATACAGAAATACAGAAATACAATAATCAAACTAATGATTCACAGTTTGAATTTGAAACCACAAGTCGGAATGCAGACGTAGCTAATATTCGGGAACTACGACAGCATCTTCTAGACCATTTACTAGACTATTTTGTAAACATAATTATAGAAGAATATAACCATAATGTTACTAGAAAAAAGAATAGCAAAGATGTTATTGAAGTTGAAAATAAATTAAGGAATTACTATGGACCACAAACAGATGTCTTAGAAGTTGATGATGCAAATTATGATGATCATGACTTTGAATACGATAACTATCGTCGGAAAAGCGATGATGAAACTGAAGCGGATTTAAACAAGGATGATCACGTAGTTGAAAAGAATAACACTGATAAAGAATTGGTAGAAACACCGAAAAATGATACTGAGATTAAAACTTTGCAGTTGCCACAGCAACCAACAAACAAAGATCCAGTCTATATAGATGACGTCAGTAATACAACTATCATGATTCCTATTATTGAAGATTACGATGATAGTCTAGAAATTGTCGCTTCGACAATATACAAGAAACGTGAAAATAACGACACGATTATTGAGACAACAGAAACGTCTCTCAATAATTTAGATAATATAGCCACAACTACGGATAAATATGATATATTACAAGAAATAAAACCTATAAATGTATCAGATAATGTAACTGATGATGATCTATACGTAAATGAAGAAGAAGACAGTACAGAAAAGCTGGTCTTCGAAGATTTTCCAGACTCCGATGATTACTCGTCCATAGAAAACGATACTTCAGCGTCTGTTACTGATAAAACGACGAATGATGAAAATATTACCGTTTCTACTAATGACGGAGAAGCAGACAATGACATATCAGCAAGGAGAATACTAAATGACGATTTAGTGCTAAATTCTGATGGAAAACAAAACAAAACTAAAACATCTGGATCAAAATTGACTCCATTAATTTCAAGACAACGTGAATTGAATGAAAAAATAGTCATAGTGTCGTCACCGTATAGTAGTGAACAAGAATTAAGTATCAATGTTAACAATAAACATATTAAAAGTAAGAAATCTCGTAAATCGAGTAAAAAACAAAAGAAAGATGGGAGAATTTCGAGACGTAACGGTTGTAGAAAAAGTTTTGTTCTAAACTTAAATATAAAACTAGTTTAATTTTGAATGTCTGTATTTTATTATTATTTTCTTACCCTAACAAAATTATCCCTTATTTAACCGAAACATTTTATTAGAACACTCAGCCAAGTTACCAAGGGCGGTAAGTATCGACATTGATAACGACAAAATTAGATCGTTAAGTCATAAAACATTTGTCGCGGAGAACCTAACGGATATCCGGGGCTCCGGCTCGACGTGCAGGAGAAGGAACGGGGTGGTTTTTAGTCAATAAGAGTCTGACACTCCCTCCCGCCTCACCCAGACGGGAGCAGACAATCGATGACTTTCCCCCCTTAAAAAACAAAAAAAAAGTCAGAAAATATTTGAACGAATTATAAAACTTCTAATATTATGTCTTTCAACTATAAGAGGATGTTGCTACACCTCCTTGGTCGGATAATGGTATGCTATAGAGCCACAGTACACACGCTACACACCTGTAACTGTACAGTTTTAACTGTACATTCGAACTGTACATTTACATTTAATTCGTAACGTATGAAAAATAAACAGTTAACCTGTCTGTACAGTTTTAACAGGTTAGGCTTAGGTATAATCAACCGCCAACTTTGCAGCTGATAATCGCAACTGCGGCGGCTGTGTAGCCGCTGAAAACGGCGGGCTCGTGAGTTTTGAAAATAAATCTCCATTCCGACACCGCAGTGGGCGCGGGCGAAGATCGTTGCAAAGAGGTACTGTGAAATGCGCGTCGCGCGTGCCTTCCTGTCTATAGTGTTTACTGTGACAAAAGAAATTAAAGGCGTCTAAGAGATGGTTGTCTAGAGCGCTGTTTAGTTTTAATCGGGGACTTTTTTACTGCACCTCTATTTAGGCATTTAAGCAAACCAAATTTCTCCACTAACCTACTGCATATCAAAAAAATGACTGTACTACAAATGAACTACATATTACATCGTAAAACAAAAATACTCATTTGCACATAAATTGTTCAATATTACAACGGAATTCCCAAAATAGGTTAGGTTAGGTTAGGAATTATTCTGCGGATGAATTTGGACTTTGGAATTTGGACACCGCGCGGTCACCGGTGACCGCAACCTATTGTTCTATAATTGTGTCTATAATGACGGTACTCGACGAGTTAAATAGTTGGTAAGAATCCGGCACACCCCTCCGCCTTTCCCCAGGCGGAGGCAGTCCAGGATGATTTCCCACCATTAAAAAAAAAAAGATTATGAATTATTAGACTTAACAAAATAGGTTTTAGATTTATTTGATGAGCAAATTTAGTGTGCAATTCAGTATAATTAAAAAATAATTGAAAAAAGGGAATTTACAGTTACAAGAATTAAAATTAAATACCACCCGTCTTAACTCGTCGAGTACCGTCATTATAGACACAATTATAAAACAATAGGTTGCGGTCGCCGGTGTCCTCGCGGTGTTTGACAGTTTAATGTACCTCTGTGTAACGGGTGTTCAAGGGTGGTACGGTATTTACCATCAAATGATTCATCAGTTTATTAACTAAACATTTGTTCCTAAGAAGGGTGGGGCGATAATAATTACCATCAGGTGATTTATCTGATCGTTTATACAAAAAAAAAATAACTACTTATTACCAAAAATATTACTTTTTATTCAAATCAAACAGCCGGTCGTTGATCATCAGTCGTTTATCTTCGATCCATTTGTGAGTACTTGTAAACTCGCCACTAACTCGCTCTGCACGTAATAAAACTTCGAATTTTGCGTTATCAGCGCTGACTGAGTCATCTGTGGCAGATTTAAGAGGATCTTCAGCATGGAAAGGCTTGTTTGTTGGGTCCGACCAGGATATTATACTTACTGTGTTCTCAGAGACTGGTAATGCTGTCGTGGATACTGTAAGTGAAGTAACTAATATTTAGTTTTTTATTAAGACTGACTGCCAATAAAAAACCGTTGAAGGTAAATCCTCCGCTAACGCCGGTCACCGATGACCCCCAGTGCGTTTAACGTGTTAATAAACTGGTAGTGGTTGGATGCGTAGACCTGAAGACCAAGCTCAGTGGCGTGCCATTGGAGAGGCTTATGTCCAGCAGTGGACGAAAACAGGCTGATGATGATGATGATGATGATGATAAACTGTTTAATGACTGCCTCGTTGGCCGAGTGGTGGCAAGTGCGACTGCCGGGTCATGGGCCTCGGGTTATTTTCCCGGGTCAGGCAAAGCATTACTGGGGTTTTTTTTTAATCGCAGTAGTAGCACGGAATCTGGAATTGTGCCCGGTATATGGCAATAGGCTCACACATGGGACTCATAACATAAATAGTGAAAAGTGGGTGTTACATTATACAGTGGCGTTATGTGCACCTCTGCCAATCCCATCGGGGATAAAAGACGTGATGTTATGTTATGTATGTTATGTAAACTGTCTTTTATGGAGAGCCATGCTTCGGCACGAATGGTCCTGCTTGACCGGAGTGATACCACGGCCTCACAGAAAACCGACGTGATGCAACGCTTGCGTTGTGTTTCGTCGTATGAGTGAGGTTACCGGAGGCCCGATTACCCTCCCCTATCCCAATCTCCCCAATCCCTGAATCCCCGACGATCCTCAAACTCTTAATCCCCAAAATACTGGTGACGCACTTGTAACGCCTCTGGTGCTCCGTGTGTCCATGGGCGACGCCGATTGCTTACCATCAGGTGATCCGTCTGCTCGTTTAGCGGTTTATGCCATAAAAAAAAATAATGCACTAAAAATAATCTGGACTTACACACACAATACATCAAGGCAACGCATATAAACATTATGACCGAAATAAAAAAAATTCTAGTTGCATTGCATCACACTGTGTGAATAACTTTAATAAATATTGCATGCGATACTCAAACGGTTCTGCATAAAACTAGCTAAGTACTGCGAGAAAATAGAAATATATTTAAAGGGCAAACGAGCTGACAAATTGTTATTGAAGCATATTTCTTCACCGCAAAAAAAGTAAACAATAAAAAATTAATTAATACTCCGGTGATTGAGTTAAGAAATGGTACAGCCTTTTTTTGAGAAAAATCATCGAATGACTTCAGACGGGTCAGGGCGAAAGGGAGTGTCAGACTCTTACTGACTAAAAACCACCCCGTTCCTACTCCTGCACTTCGAGACGGAGTCCCGGTAACCCGTTAGGTTCTCCGCGTCTCCGTATCGGTAATAGCCCTATTGGGCCCCCATCTGTGATGGTCTGATGGCTCCTTGAGGCGCGCGCGGAACGCTTCGCGCCGTACGCTCGGGCCTGGTTCTGGTCAGGCGGCGAGTCGCCCGTGCTTACGGTGGCCGGAGATCGTCTCGCGATCCCCGACGCCCGGAGTGTCTCTCGCGACGGCTGTGGCGTGAGGAGATTCGTTCCCTCACGCGCCCCGCCTCCTTCTTAGCAAGCATGACTGCTGCGCAGAAGGAGGAGATGGCATCTCACTCCCCCTCGCTCCGTACCATGATCTGAACCAGAGCCGGACGCGAGAGGTTGCCGTCGCCGATCCTGAGGAGACGACGGTGCTCAGCCCACGCAGCACACACCGCGAAATAGTACAGCTTGGCAAATAAGATTTTGACATCACCCACTCCGGACCATATTCCATGAATCAAACAATCATCCGAACATAGTACCTCGTCTTTTTTAACATACATAACATAATATCACGCCTTTTACCCCCGAAGGTATAGGCCGAGGTGCACTTTACAGGACTCAAACCCACTTGTCACTATTTATGTTACGAGTCCCAGGTAATGGGACTCCGTGGGTTGATTCCGTAGTTTCGTGCAAATTGAACCGTTCCGCGGAACAAAAATAAAAATGGTGTATTTGTATTTTTTATTTATTCATCGTATTAAGTTAATCCCCAGGATTGTAAAAATAAGATAGGCACTTTTTAATATTGCTTAATTACGAAGAAATTGACATCCCAAATTAAGGTAATGGATGGCAATGAAAACTGTCAGGATTGTAATGAACTAAGGTAGTGTAGCCATAGGGTAGTGGGAAAGCTAGGTTAATGTAATGAATCGTAAAGCCTAAGAGAATAATCAATTCAAATAATAATATTTCAATAATCAACATGTTTTACTATGCTTCATACAAGCAGTCAATCATACCAAATTTTACTGAGAATCTAAAATCTAACTAATGTGGTAAAATTATGAAAAGCGGACTAGTAAATCAACTAACACTACTCGTATACAAAATAGTTGCATTTGAAACATCGATACTCTATCAAACAATACAAAAAAAAAACAATGAAAACTATACTTCAACACACAAATAATCAAATAACCTTAGAAATAACTTGAGAAATCAATATGCAATGTTTTTTTTCATAAGACATTATTGATTTAAATTGTAGAAGAGTTGAAGGCGGTTTTCTGAAATTATAATTAAAATATATATATATTAAACCTTTAAAAAAATTAAAAGTTATCACTGTCATCAGATTCATCAACATTGCAATCTGTGTTTGTAAAAGATTCGAATTCTCATTGATGTTCTTATAACTTGCTTGATTTGTTGTAAAATGTTCTGTTCTCCTAATTCAAACGTACGTCAGATAATATTTTAATTTTAGGGGACCTTGACAAAGTAAAAGATTGAAAGATGTTGCTTGATTTATCAATGGCGAGAGCTGGAAATCGATTGGACCCACAGAGGTTGCAAATTTTTGAGAAAATCTGATTCATTTAAGTTGTTTAAATTGTAGATGTATCTTAACTAACGGATTGTCAATAATTAATGTTTCCTCAGCTTGATTACGTTGATTCCCACATCGATCTGCCTCCAATGTTCCATAATTATTACAACGACGAAATCTTGAGTGCTTACTACGGATACAAATGTTGTATTCTTCATAATTGAAACAACTGAGACTTCGAAGTTTATTTCTTATTATAATCGGCGGTCCAAATGACATGATGAACTTGAATTGTTTCCTTACATACTGAAAAATCATGAAGTAATACTTTTTCGTCAATATCACTCTCTTTTATCATATCAAAGTGTACGTTTGGTATAATTTTAATATATAAACCCCAAAAATCTTCATAATTATAACCAACTTTTCCACAATAAGTTACAAAATTTTCAGCAATTCGCTTTACAACTGACCCAATGCCGTCTGAAACTTCTTTACCGTGGCTCGAACCTTGATAGTTCCACGTCACGCTATTTATATTGGGGTTAATATCAATTTAGTGATCATATAAAATATATTCTAGTTTCTGTATTTCCTGGAAAGAGAATCTGATAGGAAATATACCGTGTCCACAGTGTTAGCGTTTGTACCATCTTCTTACCAGCCGTAAGCAATCACTAACTACTTATACAAAATTATCTGATTTTCTGTGTCACTCTGCGGGGATGAAGTTTCCACTAATATTCTTTTTTCTTCCTTCCTTCTTAAGAATTTCTGCGCCAACGCCTTCTCATTGTGCTCCAGGAGTCATGCTTTGAATACTGAAATCTTGTTTTTTTCTTTTCTCGCTAAATATCTGATTCTTTTGTTTTTCTTTCTATATAGAATATACAGGATTACTTTTAAGTCTATCTTTTGCTAGCTTTTCTTCTCTGGTTAACTTTTTACGGGATTTCGCCATGTTAATGCTCGTTTCATTTGTACTCTTATTTGTTTGACTCATTTCCTTCCAAAACAGCTCATTACCTGCTTACAAAAAATAGGAAGGAACTGAAGGTAATGAAGAGGAGATGAATGAGAAAATCGACTGTTTTGATTGATTCCTCCATTTCTGAATGATATAAAAATAAAATAAAAAAATAAAATCAAGATAAATGTATTATAACAACAATTAGTTAGTTAAAAAATAACTACATTAATACAGTACCTTTTAAATCCAAGGAATGAAATGAAATGGTTTCTGGACGAAACACTAGTAACAATACGGAGATCGTAAATATTTTTAACAACGTTGGGTGTACGTCCACCTTGCTCTGTCACCAGGGCTAAGGGATCCATAGGAACACGTTTCATCCCGAACTATATTAGAATTATATACACTATCGACAAAATTGACTTGTTTTTAGGAACGGATGGCAATGAAGATTTTTTTGTGACAATTGGAAAAGATGGGTTTCCAATTTTATTACTATGTTTAATTTATAATTAAAATGCTAAATTAGTAGGCCAAGAGTGAGGCTTCAATATGACATACTCAGTGTAGCCATAAGTTTGATTGTCGACAAGTAAATAATTAAACATCTGCCGATGACTCTCTCTGGAAACAGAGAGGAATGAATTTTTACGCAGATTTATTGATTTTTAAAAAAAACTATCGACTTAATTTACAATATTAGCGATACTCCTTGAAGAGTAATTATGTTTGAACATATTCTGAAAAAAATTAACACAAAAGGAAGTAGTATTCTGTAGTTTATAGGTCTGGATATGCGTTTTGCACGAAACTACGGAACGACCCCGTGCTACTACTGAGATCTTTTTTTTAAACATAGTAATACTTTTGCTGACCCGGGCATCGAACCCTAGACCCATTGCCGAGTAGCACTTGCGATCACTCGGCTAATGAAGCAATTACTCTTTTTAAACTCGATTAAAAAATCCAATCTCAAAACTGATTAATTCGCATGTCAGGTTACCACGAGAGCGATACTAGCGCCCTCAAGTTTTCCAAACTCCAAGCCAAGTTGTACCTACAAATACAATCCACAGGATACATAGAAGGCGCCATGTACAAAAACAAATATCTATAATACAAATAAATGATCCTTGCTACAGAATCCTAATATGGTATATTTTTTTACGATCGACACTTTACGACAATACGCAGTAAAGGCGCAGTTTGATAAGATGTGGTCCAAATAAAATGGCAATTTCTATTATTATTCTAACTTTAAGTAAGTTTTATTGAATTTAACTAGTCATAGAAGTGACCAATGGGCCAAGAAGGTGGTCGAGTGACAACCACGGACTGATAGGCTGAGTAGACTGAAGACATCGTCAGTCGCGGGAGGCTAATGGATGTAAGAAGCAAGTCATTCAACGTTAAGGGCTAAGGGAGAGGCCTTTGTCAGCAGTGGACATCTTTTAGCCAATATGATGATAATTATAAACATGATAAATACGTAAGTTCATATTTCCTGGACAGTCCACGCTACCATCAGTTAACTGGACAATCTCTACACTACACGAGTCACTGTTTACATGTTACCATTAGCTCATGACAATACCTAAATACGTACCGCCTGTACAGTCCACGCTACCATCAGTTGACTGGAGAACCTCTACAGTATATAAAACTAAATATAATAATTTGCATATTTTTTATAGGTTTATCAATATTAATAAGCGTCAGTGTCAGCAAATCTTTCAAACAATCAGAATCCTTGTTAAACGATAAACCAATGTCTGATAATAATTACAAATCTAGAGCAGATGACGCTGACGAAGAATGGGACGAGAATATTATAGCAGACAGCGAAGCTATAGATAATGCATTAGATAAAATGTTAGCTAATAAGAAACTGGTAGTTAAATTCAAACAAAAAAAACCTGAAAATGATAATATTAAAGTCATGCATGCCGTCGAAGACCGTGAGCACAACAACGAAAGCATAACTCCTATAAATGATTACGAATCTATGCACGTTAGTTATCCATATCGTATTCCGAATGAATCTCCTGAAGAAGCCAATCAAGTAAATATGATAGATAAACGAGACATGGAAGTCAAAAAGATATATTCGTTAGATGGAAAAGATCATGCAGGTGTAATATCTGAATCTCATGAAACACCTGAATTAATAATGGTCACTAAGATTTTTAATAAGAAGGTAATTAAAAAGCCTATTTTGCGCAACGAACATGTGTTGAAGAATAAAAATCTATGCCCATATAAAGATAAATCGGAGATGAAACCTCAATCACGTGAAGGTAATACTTACAAACACGTTTTACACAAGAAAAACAAGCGAGAATCCAAAAAAGTTCCAAAACAGGCAGAAATAACAGATGATGAAGACAGTAATTACGAAAAAAAATTAAATAAACATTACAAAACTCAACTAAAAGAGAGGGAGATAGTTAAAAAAGCTGCTCCACATAGAAATGCCGATGATGACTCGCTTTCTACAGAAAACAACGCATATAAAAAGAAACAAGAAGCAAAAATCAAATTGAAGACGACAACGACGAAGATTAAAAAGCATAGAAAAAAACATAAAAAGCCTAAACGTGTACATAAAAAAAAGAAAGAAAAGAAAACAAAGAAAACTGTAACTAAGAGAGACACGCTTAGAAATGGCGATAATGATTTGTTGTCTTATAGTTTAAAAAAGCCAAAAGTTTTGGACACGGTTGAAATAAAAATAGCTAATCCAATTCACAGCGTGAAACACCCAAAGCGGGGGAAAAAACATGTCAATGTTAACGATGGAACAGTGACAGAGCGTAATCATAAAACAACACACAAAGTAAAAAAGATACACATTTCTTCAAAACTTCCGACTCATAAATATAAAATAAAGCACAAGGACGTAGAAAGAAATGAATCTGTTGAAGTACATTCCAACGTTCGTGATGAAAGTCACGAATCTTCTGCAGCTAAAAGTATTCCTTGGGAGAATTCTGAAAACATAGACCCAGCTGATTTGACTCGTACAAATCACGAGAAAAAAGATTTAAATTCTTACGAAGAACTGTTAAAGGAGAATGACATTATATCACATCCGAAATTACCATTTTACCTATCAACTATAAAACTCACCTCACAGAAGAAAAAGTATACAAAAAAATACTCTGTACATTTGACTACTACAATCCAAGAAAAAACAACTACGAGACAAGAAAAATTGCCTTTACGACATATAGACAACGAAAATCAGCAAAACAAGAATTATGAAATCGATATGAATGCAACACTCCACGAGTTGGCATCATCAAAAATGCTAGACCAATTAACAGAAAAAATTGCCACCCAGATGCTACAGAAACTGCAAAAACGATTAGAAGATAATGGATTAAGAGCTCTTGGAATACCAGACCATGACAATGAAACGGTGGAACAGATAGAAATACTATTTAATAACGACGGCAGCATGCAGGTTATGAATAATAAAAGAGATGACGTCAATGGTACAATGCTATACTTTGAAAATTTTAATGCGAAAAGAATGCGTCCTGCAAACTATTGACCATAGCTAGTCAAGTTTATTGTTATACTCAAACAACAACTGTGGCACCTGGCTACTTTATAGTTACACGCAGAATACACACACATTGACGCGAAGGACATCTGTCATTTTCTTTTTTTTTACTAATTGACATGTCCGACGTTGGTCCTAATTAAGTTAAATTGAATAAAATTTGTTGAAATATAAGATTAAATGCGTTTTTATTCCTTTTTATGAGATTAACAGTTAGACCATCTGGTGGTAAGATGGTATAGATATCTGCAATACTCTCGAAACCAATCGCAATATCAATGCCATTTCAATCCAACAAAATCTCAATAATTATTCAATGTCAACACTTTACAACTACAATCGTAGCTGTTATAGCATTCAGAGTACGGAATATAAAGACAAACTCAATATCATTTACTTCATTAAATATCCACGCAATACGAATGCGATGAGCGCTAATATTGCAACTCAAGAGTACGAAATTTCACAATACCAATGACGATCAATAGGAATTGGATTCAAGAATAAGCCCCCAGAGGAGTTCCAAGGTGCGTTGTCGACTCAGGTAACATCACTCCCACGACGAAACAATGCAATCGTCGTTTGTAGCACGCTAGTTTTCTGTAAACCCGTGGTACCACTTCGATACACGAAACATGGCTCTACTATAAATATCTTCTTCGAAATTCAAATAACGTGAATTTTTTTGAAGTCGTCGAATTATTATCATTGGAAAGACGTAACATCTATGGTGGCGCCATCTGACTTGATCGTTATTTATTTATAGCGTAGGTAATCTATACGATCCGATGCAGTTTTCATGCTAAATGGTAACTATGAGATGATCTCGTGAAGTTCCTTTAGATTATATTAATGTTTTAATTAATGATTATTGTACTGGTAACTATACTTTCTTCTTACCTACGTAGCCAAATTTAACGGTTTTTCTTATATCTTTAAATGAATAGTTTGCGTAAACTAACTACTTGAAAATCTTAAATTAGAACATTTACTTGTAACTCGTTTGTGGAAAACATTATAAGGATTTTAATGAAATAAAAAAATATTAAAACCGCATAATGGCACAAAGTAAGAACAACGCACAGACATACAAAGAGAAGCAGACCAAACATTAACTAAAATTTGTGAAGCCAAAATTTCGCAAAATCCCTTTTTTTTAAGGGGGAATGACTTCTCCCACCTGTGTGAAGCGGGAGGGAGTGTCAGACTCTTATCGGCTGAAACCCACCTCGTTCCTACTCCTGCACTTCAAGCCGGAGCCCCGGCAACCCGTTAAGTTCTCCGCGTCTCCGAATTGACATGTGGTGTAGTAGTCGTAAGATATATATTAAGCATCCTATATTCAATATATTCAGTGTATTCTCGGAGCTCGTTGGTTTCATTACACTCATCCAAACACCCAACCTTACAGACATCAGCCATATTGGGCCCCATCCGTGGTGGTGATGGCTCTTTGAGGCGCGCACGGAACTCGAGTGTTCTTCACGACGGCTGGGTTGTGAGAAGGTAGCGATTCGCTGCCTCACGCGCCCCACCTCCTCCTTAGCTAGCATGACTGCTTCGCATAAAAAAATAAAAACTGCGTTTAAAAAACCAACTTCAAAAACCAAAAACTAATAACAAACAAAAGTCAAAACTAAAAAGCAAAATATAACTATTATTAGTACTGATAGGTAAGAAGTCGGTGCCATAAGTTCCATACAAAATTAAAAACCTTAATAGGTACCTAATTCACAATTTTGTGGACAGTTATATCATTATGATATGAATATAATACTTTCTTTCTCATTGTTACCCATCAATGTGTGGGAGTCTTTGTATTGGCCTTCAGACCGCGTTGAATTCGCCACATCTGGATTCTGTTATTTTGAGGATTGTTTATTATCTGAGACCATTTTTCGCTGGTATATTGTGTGGGTGCTTGAACCTGGAGTTTTAAACGATTGTAGGTTCTTTTTGACTCCGGTATTCTATCCTTGTTGAAGAGCAGGTGCCACACTTTTCAGGTGTATGATAATATTCATTGATCACAATAAGCAATTGTGATAAAATTGATACGCAGTAGGTACACAATCATGGTACCTTTTACAAGTATAAGACCTTCTAGACTGATCGATTATTCAACTTTGTAATAACTATTACTCAACATTTAACCCAATATATTTATTAGTTTAACCTTCCGGAATTCTAAATCCGTCCTCTGTTGATTCTACAAGTACTTGAGCTGTCATGAATGGAAGCGTTTTACCTACCAATAAAACGCATATTAATTTACTTACCTTATTCGAAGCTTATTTAATTGAGATAGGCCTTCCGCTTCCCTCCTTCCGCTTTTCCTATATGTCTATCTCTTTCTACTACGTCACTTCCATTTGGCAGTGGTGGGGAGGCTTGCTAAGAGAGACTCGCCATTTTTATTTCATTGAGTCTCATTACCAGGCAGAGCTTGACTATAAGCTTCGAATAAGGTAAGTAAATTAATATGCGTTTTATTGGTAGGTAAAACGCTTCCATTAATTTGACTTGACCGTTATTCGAAGCTTATTTAATTGAGACGTGTTTGTTATCGCCTGGTGGAAGTGACAGACGCCAATGTGAGGTAGTATGACTGCGTTGACCGCAGTCGTACTACCTGGTATGATGTGGTAAAATCACAGAATAGAAAAACTAAGAAAAATAGCAAATATCTAAAAACATATACATGTTTTGATGAAAGGTATTGAATAGAAAACCAGTTATTTTTAACTTTTTCAATAATAATTGTATTTGATCTGAACAAAAACAGATGTTATATATTTCTGAGGTATTTTATTGCCTCGTTTCTAATTTTCTAATCGTCTGTATTGAATAAAAAGGTGACATACAAAGGCACACACATCTTAGAAAGGATCGCCTCAAAAGGATAACTATCCACTAAATTTTTTCAGATCACAGCTGATCTGAAACCCTCAGGATATCTTGGGGGATTACTGATATCTTAATATCGGTTACCACCAAGAAGGAACTTTATCCTGACCGCAATTA